GAAGGGGGAAGAGGCTTGGGGCAGCACAGACACGCAGGGGCTACAGCTCAGCCATTTTCAAACCAATTAAGTTTCCTTCATTGTTTTAAAATTAAAAAAAAAAAAAAAAGAAGAAAAAAATAAAGAACCCCCAACCCTTGCCCGACCTCCCCTTCCTTCTGGAGACCCCAACCAGCACAGGCAGGCCTCACTGGCACGGCGGTCCCGGCAGGCAGCACTCCCCACACTGCATGGAACGGGGAGCAGCAGAGCCAAAAAATACACTTTTTCACACCGAATTTGAGATTTGGTCAGTAGCATGTTGGGGCGGCTCCCACGGCCGGCGGGGTGCTCAGGGCCAGGAGCAGGACCCCTGTCCTGCGGGGACGAGATGGGACCGGGCTGGCTACAGGGCCATGGCAGGGAGGCCGGGAGCAGCTGCAGGGCCACTGCGGACCCATGGCCACAGCCAGAGCAGCAGCTCTGCCCTCTCACCGGGAGAGGAGACCCCGGCACCGCAGGAGAGGGGGCAGCGCCGGTGCCACGTTAACACCACGTCAACACCACTGTCACCCGCTGCCAGCCACAGCCCAGGGCCACGTTTCGAGGGCCCAGGGAAGAGGAGCGAGGTGGGAGGCACAGGTCAGGCTCCAGAGGGAGCAGGCTCTCCACACAGCTGCTGAAAGCAGGATGGCATGAGGCCAGGGGCGGAGCAACAGCGACTTCCCGCTGCCAGGCAGGAGCATCATGGAGACACACACAGGACTGGCCAGGCAGGACACCCCCCACCTGCCACCACCCACTGCACACTTGCAGGAGGCACAGGAATGTCCAGCACTCATGGTGTGGGATGGGGAGCTGCCAGGGCACGGAATGGCCTCTCCCCACCGCGGGCCTCTGCAGGGACCCCGCAGGCGTGAGGGTCCTGCCAGCACAGGACAGGGAGTGGGGCAGGGGAGGAGGAGCCCTGCCACAACATGGAGCTCTCCCACCATCCCCCCCAGCCTCTTCTCCCGACTTTGCTGAGGACACACAGGTGAGTGACACCACACAGCCCATCCTCGGGCAGCCAGCACAGCCCTGGGAAGATCCAAGGCTCCCACAGCCAGTCTGGGATGGCTGAGAACTGCAGAGCAAGGCAGATGGGGGACACTGGAACACAAGGACACAACACAGTCAGGGCAGAGGTTCTGCAGAGCAGCCGTGCCAGAGCAAGGGGAGGGCTCAGTGCAGACACCCAGCAGCAAATGCAGCCCCAGCACCAGCCAGGGAGCCAGTGGCACAGGCAGACCCTTCCCTGCAGCTCAGTACACCCTGGCACAACCACTCTGTGGCTGGTGTAGGTCGGGGAGGCTGCCCGCTCCTTCCCTCGAGCCCCCGGGTCGGTGTGAGCCCCAGGGCACGGTGAGGAGGGTCCCCATCACAGCTGCTGCCCCAGCTATGTCACATGAAAAGGAGCACAGGAAGAAAGCTACTTAAAAACCGCTGCCAGCAGAACTCCTCCCCGCTTGTTTGGGTCCTCTGGGCACCACAACGTCTCCTGACAAGCCTTGCCACGCCAACCACAAAACAACGTCACAGATTAGAGGAAGGAGGGAGGAGGGGAGAGAGGATGCTACTGCCATGATTGCTTTCCCCTTCCCATGGGGATTCCTCAGCAGGAGGGAGCAGGGGATTCCTCAGCAGGAGGGAGCAGGCTGGCCCTGACTGCTGAGCTGCTGGACCATGAGTTGCCCCATCAGAGCCGGGGCCAGGTAGAGGGACAGCCCTGGCCCTGAGCCGGGATGGAGCATCCAGGACAGCCTGCAGAGCCAGAGGCCCAGCCCTGGCTGCAGGCAGACCTGCCTCAGCAGTGGCAGTGCCCCGTGGTGACCAGGGCGTGCCACCCACACTCACTGTCCCGTGCCACCGCTGGCCCACACCGTGGTGAGTAATGACTAAAGCAAAATGGCCATGGGGAATCAGGTGCCTGCCATCCAGCCCTCCTCCTCCTCTCCTCCATCACTTCCAGCTTTGATTAGACAAAACAAGAAAGTTCTCCCTTCCAAGCAGACGCTAGTGCTCCGCTCGCCCAGCGTCCGGGGAGGGCACCGGGACCTCCCCAGGCGTTCGCTGCTTCTCCTCCGGCATCTCGGTGTCACTCAGGGATGGCGCAGGGACCTGGGGAGAGAGGACAGAGTGACCTGCAGGGACACACGCCAGGACAGAGCACCTGTCTGAGCATACAGGCCTCTCCTGCCTCCAGCTCCACCAGCAGCAGTCTCGGCTGGGCTTGGGAAAAGGAGAAGCCAGGGGCCCCCCAACAAAAACAACAAAAGCTTCGGGAAGAGCTGGAGCACTGGACTGCTCCAGCAGAAGTGGTCTGGACTGTATCCACCAGAGAAGCAGCAGATCGTGCCCAAGCACGAGCAGGCCCAAACATTTCCCACCATGTTCATGGAATAATTTAGGTGGGAAGTGCACTCTGGAGGTCTCCTGTCCAACTATGTCCTTAAAGCAGGGCTAGTTTCAAACACAGAGCAGGCTGCTCTCCAAAGACAGAGATCCCACACCTGTGAGGACCCTTCCCAGGGAGAGCCCTGCAGCTCCCATGCAGCACCAGAATAAGATGCAGGCAACATCCCACCCTTCCCCAGCCCCTCCCAGCTCCATGGGTGACAGCTCCTGCGTGCTCTCACGGCAGCACTGATCTCCAAAACCTCAGCCAGCTGTGATCTCCTTTGAGAAAACTGCAGGAAACCAAGAGACCCTGGTTTCCAGCATCAGACCAAACCGGCTTTTCACCAGCAGCCTCTCAGCACGGCCCCCCTGTGTTGTTCTGTCCTTCCTACATCACTCTCAGCTTTCCCTCACTGTCCAAGAGCCCCCCCAGCTCCCAAGAGGATTACTCACGGCACTGGGGAGAGGAATGCTGCCATCCTGCTGCTTCATGCTGCTCTCCTCAGCCTGCCTGGGGCCCTGCATGGCCGGGGGCTCCTGCGTGCCGGGCCCCCGCGGGCACGGCCCCTCCTGAGCTGTGCTCTCCTCCTGCTGCAGGATGCCCCGTCTGTCCAGGACACTGCAAGAACAGAGCCATGCCATCAGAGACACATGCCTCCCCAGATCCCATCTCTTTTCCCAGCAGGAGAAGTGCTGGTGGTCAGGGCTGCCCCTCAACAGCTTACCTGGGAGGCAGAGGCCCACAAAGCACCTCACAGCAGTTCTTCACTATGTTGCCGTGGCTGTAGGGATTCTGCACACGGTTCTTCCCAGTCCAGGACCCCTTAATCTGAAACAGTCAGGCACAAGGTCAGGTCTGCTCCAGGGAAACCCTCTCCCAGAGCCCTGCCTTGGCCTGCAGAGTGGGCACAGCTGTGACACGCTGAGAAACGGCAACAGCTCAGAGGAAGAGGAAGAGTCTACTTACGTCTTCGTTGGTTGTCTGATTCAGTGCCACCAGGAAGGTGTGGAACCCAGTTAACCCCACCACCGACCACAGCGTGAAGAAACAGATGAGCACCTCCAGTACAGTGAGAACAGTTAAGGACTGGGAACAGCTGAGGAGCGGGCCCAGCCCACCTATCACAACCCTCAAGCACACCAACTTCTCTTCCTCTCCTAATCATGGTTTTCTGTTTTAGCCTCCTCCCAAAAGCCACAAAACTGCTCCCCATCTTGTCATCGGTGGAAAAATGCCCAGAGATACATGTTAGCGTGGCCTGGGCAGCCCGTCCATAATGCAGCTCCCACTAGCCCCCAGCTTTAGAGAAGAGGCACTGTGGAAGGATATGTCCCTGGGGTTTCCTTCAACGTGTTCAGAAATCCAATCTTCAGAGATTCTGCAATACAAAAAGCAAGAGATATTTTTTACTCTGGAACATCCCATCAAATTCCCTTTCCCACTCCATCACTCTGGTTTCCCACCGCTATCTGTACCCTTACTCCCTCCCTCCTTCCCAGCCCTCCAGCCAGACTCACTCAGTGCTACGTAGACGATGTTGAAGGTGAAGATGTAGATGGTGAGGAGGGAGAGCGAGAGGATGAAGAGGTAGAAGTAGCGGTAGTTCCTCTTCCCCACACAGTTGCCCACCCAGGGACAGTGATGGTCGAAGCGCTCTGGGGAAGCCAAGACGGAGATCAGCACCCTCCAACACAGCCCTGCCCACCTCCGGATCCTTGCTCCTGTGCCCCCACCTCAAAAATCTCTCAGGCTAATAAGGACTCCTAAGTCCAACCCTCTGCTCACTCAGGACTCTGTATCCCAGCCCCCGTCCAGGAAGGAAGCCCAGGTCAGAAAGTCCAAAATCGTTTCATAATGAGTCATTTTGCGCATTAAGAGAGAGCTTGAACTTGGCCTCTTGTGTGTCTTCTCTCCCTGGGGTACAACAGCCACAGCACACGGGTTAGATGAAGGCCTGGGAGTCCCCAAGTTGTTACCCAACCCACTATATACCTACTAGAATAATCAGGAGAGGGTTCATGGAAGTGCATAAACACACAAAGGTCGGGAATCTGAAGAGGAGGAACGGGATTTCTACCTGGAGCAGCAACGCTGAACATAAGCCAATTATATACACAGGAGGACAACAAGCAGGGCACCCCATAGGATAGCACAATCCCCATGCTGATGAAGGAGCTGCTGTCATCCAAGACACAACTCTCCACTAGAACCCTCCAGCAAGGCCAGAGTCCAGTGGAACAGAAAAACAGGCTGCACACACACACACGGAGAAGTTGGACTTGGTTAGGCTAGTTATTGCCAAAGTCCTGGCAAAGAGTAACCACGTGGCTCCAGGTGCTGAGCAAACATCAAGCTCCTTCAGCACAAGACAAGGCAGCCTGTCCCTATGTGGACACACCACCACTCCAGACCCGCCCAGCATGAGGCACAGGTCTCCCTCTTTCTCCAAGGTTCCCCCACAGGAGCTGAGGGCAGGAGCAGGCCCAGCCCTGCACTCACCCACGCAGTTGTCGCAGATGCTGCAGTGCGAGGCGCGGGGCGGGCGGAAGATCTTACACGTGTAGCAGTACTTGAGCTTCACGATCTGGTTGTTGATCTGGAAGTTCTTGATGCGCGGGGGCGGGCGCTGGCCCTGTGGCACGGTCCCGTTGGTGGCCTCTGCCAGAGAGAACAGAGCACAGATCGGACCTGCTGCTACAACACGACAGGCCCAGAACGACAACTCGTTTCCCCGCCTTTCCTACCAGCGGGACCAGAGCCTGTTGGCTCCAGAGCCGGCGGCTGCAGCTCTGCTCATGCGAGCCAGAGCCAACCTGGCAGCTTGGAGGCAGGAAAAGGGATGCCAGAGCTTTCATGGGCATGTTGAGAGGAGGCTAGGGGTTGTCACCCGCATTCATAAAAACTCCTCTCTCCCAGAGGGATCAAGGGGACCACACCAAGCTTCCTGCACCCCTTCCCAAAAGCAAACTTTGTATGTGCATGGCTACAGGAGAGAAAGTAGCAGGTGAAAGGGTTCCCAGAGAGAGACGCAGGTACATCATGCCCCCTTTTTGAGACTTGGCCAAGCACAATGGGCCAGCAGATCGGGGCGCTCCTCACTTTTGGAGGTCCAGCCAGGAAGGAAGGCTCTGCAGGGACTGCAGCCTAAAAATATGCCAGAAATACAGAGGCTTTTCCAGCCCTCCCCAGGTTGGCTGCCCCACACTCACCAATCTCCATCTCGATGAAGGCTGCCTCGTCAGGCAGGGCCCTCGGGATCACCCCGGGGTCGCTGAAGCTCGTCCGCAGCAGCGTGGCCATGGCAAACAGGAAGAGAACTGCTGCAAACACGGGGATGGCCGGGGACAGCTGGACAGCCAGGTACCGGCACCTGCGGACACGGGGCGGGAGGAGATGAGTCAGAGCGAGTCTGGAGTCTGCCGGCACTGGGCTGAGCACGCCTGGCACGGCATCAAAGCCCCGGTGCTCCTGAGCACTGGTAAGATCTAGAGCAGAGAAGCTGTTCAGCACGTCCTTCTGATTCGCCACCACAGGGGAATGCTCCTGGGGCAGCTCCAGTGACCAGGCACCATCACAGCACTGCTGTGTTTTCCACCAGCCAGGCACAGATACTTCCCAGCATCTGTTCTGTTTTCAGACACAGTTTTGGGCAGTACCAGAAATGTGACCAGGGAGCTGGAGAGACCATGCCTGTTAGACCCCTGCTGCCAAGGGATGGGCTGGAGCTCCAGAAGAAGCACCCAAGGCCTGGTCGAGGACCTACCATGCCGGAAGGCATGGAAGCACATGAGGATGGTGGGAATCTCTAGCTGGCCCCTAAAGGGCAGCAGTTTCCAGTACCACAGAAATTACTGGAATTTACTGCATCCTGTGCTTCTCAGGAATGGGTTCCTCTGGAAGTGCAACATTCCCATGCAATGTCTGTCTTCCTCTGGCTTTTCTGAGGTAAGGCACTGAAAAGCTCCAAATAAAGCAGAAAGGCTCCTGCTCCAAGATTTCCCAAGCCCAAGAGGGAACATGGTACAAGGTTTGTTTGCTCTAAAATGCACCAAGACTCGACAAGGAGTTTATTGTTCTGATCCTGCTGATGGAGGAAGTGCAAAGGGAGCATGGGACTCATTTCATCATAGCTGTGCTGCTCCCACATAGCCGCATCCATGTTCCCATGAGCACCACAGCGCAGGCCTGGGCAGAAGTCATGGTTTAGAGACATACTGGGCTGAAAGAAAACACATGTTTATCCTAATTCCTTCAGAAAACCCCACTGATATTGGGTCGAAATTCCTATAGAGCTTGCCTATGGTTTAAGGGAAACCCCCCCCAATCCCACCATTCGTGCCATGTCTCACCTCTCACACGTTGCTTCCCTGGGTGCCTCCTGATGCAGCTGAGCACTGAGGCTTTCAGGCACCTGGCTTTCCTAGACCCACCCTTCACCCTTTTTGGTGAAGGGTGGATCAATCCAGATTCCTTCTGTTCCACAGTTACTCTCCAAGAGAGCATCAGTCTACTGCAGTGAGAGGACGGGGATTATGCTCCCTGGGGGGGCTGCCATCCCAACCAAAGCCATTTCCACCAGCTCCACAGCACTGACTACTTAATTCTGGACAGCATTCCCACCACAGCTTCCCCAAACACAGTGCAGCTTCCAGCTCTGCAGACCCACCACAGGAACGCTCACCGGGCCACTGGCTGTCTCCAGAGACTGTCCCCAGCGTGTGACAAGGACAGAAGGGCTGCACACTGGAGCTACAGCATGCTTTGGCCACAGCTGCAACACCAAGCACCCACAGTGATGCACATGCCTTGTCCCATACACCAACATCCTTAATTTCAGGCACTGCACACTCCTCAGTTCCCCAAAACAACGGCCCTGCGCCGAGCCTTGCCCACAGCCAAAGAGCCAGAGGGCTGAGCTTATCGTCTTCAGGCAGCACAAGATAACTCTGCATTCCCTCTGCAAGGGCAAAGTCCAGGGAGAGCTGCAAGTCAGTCAGAGAGCAAACAGAAACCTTGGAGCCCATTTGGGGTAGAAATATGGGTTTAGGAATACGTAATACGGGTTTAGGTGTGGGTCAGCCTCTTCTCCCAGGTTACAAGTGACAGGACAAGAGCACGCAGCCTCAAGCTGTGCCAGGGGAGATTCAGGTTGTACATCAGAAATTTCTTCCTGGAAAGGGTGGTCAGGGAGGTGGTGGAGTCACTATCCCCAGAATTGTTCAAAAAATGACTGGACATGGCACTCAGTGCTCTGGGCTGGGTGACAAGGTGAGGATTGGTCAAAGGTTGGACTAGATCATCTTGGAGGTCTTTTCAAACCTAAATGATTCAGTGATGCTGTGATTATTCCTTGAAAATCTGGACACTGTCTGCCCCAAAGGGCTGCAGCCTGACCCTTGTTCAGCTGACACGACAGCTTTTGGAACTGCCGTGACAACATGAACATATTGTGGGTTTAAATATGGATCCATGAACTGTGTTAAAGCTGAGCCACAGCCCTCCTGCTTCCACACGGGCTTAGCTTAACTTCCCTTAACTAGGCTGGCTTCTGTGGCCCCTCACAGCTGAGGGCAGAGGTGTGAGAGCCAGAGGAGCTCTCACTACACTGAAACTGCACAAGGCCCAACATGAAGCCCAACATGGAGCCCCCCACGTGCCTCCTGTTCTCCACTGCACTGATGGGGCCTCACTCTTCCAGAGGTGACTTTCAGGGAACATGTCCACAGCAGGGACAGCAACCACACAAAGTCTTGACTTGGTACTCAGGTACTCAATAGCGTTGGGGTGTCTTCGGTCTGTGCTGCATCTCCAGCATGATTTCACTGCTCAGTAACAGACATTTTAAAGATCTGTTGTTTGGGAGAGCTCGGAGCCAACAGAGATGCTCTGTTGGCATGTGAGGATGCTGCTCCCCCACTCCCAGCACCATATTTGTGCTCTGGAGCGTTTTGTCACCAACAAGCAGACAATAACAGCACTATCACAATTCATCGTCACGGAGGGGTGGGCTGGGGGCAGGAAGGCTCAACAAAGAGATCATTGGAATGGGGGGGTGGGGGGAGAAGCAGCTGGGAGGTGCCACTAGTTACAGTGCTTGGCCGGTTATTTTGTGCCCTCTTGAGAAGGTCTGTTGTAACCAGCACATTGAGCAAAGCTCTGAAGGAAGGGGAAAGCCACCATGCCTGGATGACAGGGACTGCAGCCACAGCCACTGGGCACTGCATCTTCTACACAGGCCCCAACCGCGCTCAGCACAAGCTTCATGATATAAGTCACTCACATCTCACCTGCAAATCAACTTTCCTAAACTACGGTACAACCACACTGTGAGTGCCAGCAGAGCTGTATCTTTCCCAAACACCTGACCCTCACCAGGGCACTTCAGCCATCTGCACCTCCCAGCTCTGGGATGGTGTCCAGGAGCCACTGTGCTTGTGGTAAGTGTGGAAGAGGCTGCTCCGAAGCCCGGGTAAGTGCCACAACCACAAATCTGTGTCCAGGCCCTTCTCAGCAGCACCAGGCAGAGCTGGAGCTCTCCATGGAACCTCTCCCCATCTGCCAGCGGCGACACAGAAACCCTCACTACAGACCCACATCAACTGCCAGCACACACCATGTGCTTCTGACCCGGCTGAGGCAGGACACAGATGCATTACGCTGATGTTATTGCTCTTTTCCTGGCTAAAAAATCAAGTTTCCACACAGGCAGATCACCCCAAGATCCACACGGGAATGAGGGTGTCACAGAGGACATGCAGGGAGGCTGAAGTCATCTCCTGAGAAGGAACCCACATATGAGAAAAAGGTCAATTGAAACCCCAGGAGCAGCCACTGCACATACAAACAGGAGCGAAACAAGCTGAACTCTGGACACCAACAAACTCACCTCTATCCAAAGAAACTACAGTGATTAAAAAGCACCGATCAGCTCATGTGTAAGTTTTGACCGCGCCTGTCAGAGATCTGTCTAGAGGTAACACCATCTCAGAGGCTCCTCTGTCAGCCTTGGGTCTCTGGGGTTCGGAAATCAAAACTAAAAAATAAAGTCACATGAGGGGCAGTGTAGGTGTTTTCAACCTATCAGAAGACAAACACATTTTCATCTCTGCAAAGCTAAGAAAGTAGGAAAAACAAAGTGACAAATATACCTGGGCATTGGAGAAGCCTCTGACATTTACAGATATCAAGTTCTGTGCTGAAAAGCTGGAGGCAAAAGAAATCCCATTCCCTTCAGCTGTGTGAGGAACTCACTTCAGGCCATGAGACAGGCTGGCAAACTGCAAAGGGAACTCCCAGCCTGAGAGAGGATGCAGCATCCCATCATCCTCGTTCCCAAAGGGATTTCACAAGTGCTTTACATGGGCTTCTCTCACGCCGGAACACCACGGGCAGAGTTACCAGCTAAGTGCCCAGCCACAGGGCTGACATTACCATTAGGAGTCTGAAATAACGCCCAGAGGATGTGGAACTGAATTTTATGGGACATGTTATGGAGCAGACCTAGTTAAGCACAGGTCTCAGACCCTGCAGGGACCAGCCCTGAGCAGCAGGAGCTGCTCCCTGATGAAGTGGTGGGGAGAGAGGTGCCCTTGGGCAGAGGACCCTGGTGGCTGCAGAGCCCTTCCCGGGAGCCAGAGCCAGCACGGCTCCGTCCCTCTGCCTTATCCAGGAGGGAGGAGCCGGATCTCAGGTACGGCACTGAGCTCTGCCAGCCTCTGGGTCCTGTTCGCTCCCGGATGGAGAGACTTAGGCGATCCCAGACCACAGCGCTGCGGATTGGGGGATCAAAGCACGGAAACTCCCACCCACAGGGCTGAGGAGGCTCAGCCCGCTCGCCTGCGGACACCGCGGAGCAGCCGATGGCACTGGAGATACTCGGAGGAAAAAAACACCACCAGAAGCAGCAGCCCAAAGAGCACGGCCGTCATTCCAGGGCTGCGGAGGACCCTGCCAGAAAGGGACGGCGGTGGCTTTTCCCCTGATGTGGGTGCCGGTCCCCACCAGCGCCGGCTGTAACCGGAGCCAGCACAGCCCGGAGCGCCGGGATCAAGCCCGGCCCGGCGCAGGGCGAGCAGCCAGACAGATCCTGGCTCCAGGCACCCCCGGAGCCGTGTTCAGACAAGGTGTGACTGCGCAAGTGATTCAGCTGAATGGAAAAGGCACCACGGCACGGGCAGCCCTGCAGTGAGCGGGCAGGGAGGGGAAGGGCTCCTCCGCCCACCACTGACTGCCACGCTCCAAATCCAGACCCTAACACCCGGATGGCTCCTCTGTAGCACGAGTTTTAAGAGGGGAAACCAGGAATTTGCATGCAAACGCAAAAGAATCTGCCAAAAGCTGAGACAAATGCACAACACGGTGAAAGCTCAAGGTTGAGACCCTCACCCAAAGCTCCCCAAGGTGCGTGGAAGGTGCACAGGGCAGGCAGGGAGCCCAGCTGCTCATCTCAGCCTGGTCGGTGCAAAAGAGACCCTGGGGAGTCCTTCCAGATGGGAAGGCAATATCTCCTCCCTCTCCGAAACACAAAAATCCCCAAACAAGTTCAAAACAACTCCCTCTTTACCAAACAGAAAACACTGAGATGTTATGCACTGAATCAAATGGGTATTCGGGGTTTTCCCAAACTTTTCCTTGTCTTCCTTAGATGATTTAACTAAAATTCAAAAGTGATCCTGCTCCCAGCAGCACTTCCCCTGCACAGCCCACCCTCTGGCTCTAGGCACGGTCTGGATGTCTCGGTGCAAGCAACCCCTCCATAGGCCTCTGCTTCCCAGAGCATGAAAAGGGGCTTCTCAAGGAATTTCTAGTCACATTCCAGGCTAACCACGGCCTAGGGATGGAACACAGCCTTAGCTCACTCTGCCTGGTGCAGCTGGTGAGGGCAACCACAGCAGAGCGGGATGTGGTTCACTCTCCACAGGACCCACAGGGAGCCAGAGCAATTATCCCTCAAATCAGTGTTTCTGGAGCAGCAAAAAGCATTTCTGGAGCAGCAGTTCTTCCTGCAAGGCAGGAAGGCTCAGCCCCACTTTTCAGATGGAAAAAAAAAACCCAAACAAAAAACCAAGAGTGGTGTCACTTGGTACCTCAGAATTCAGACTGAGCCAGGGATAATTTGGGCAAGGAACTAGGGAGAGCCATGCCAGGTCAGGGGATGTGGAGACAAGTTCCCTAGCCTGGGGAAGATGCTGAGGAGGCCAGCATCTGGGCTGAGGGGTTTATGGCTCTGCAGGGACAGCCAGGGCTTAGCCAGGGAGCAGCTCCTTCCGCTTGCTTTTCCTGGCTTAACAAGCTTTTGTGTTACTCAATCCTGTGTCAGCCCTTCTCCTGCCCCAGAACACAAACATACACAAGGAGACTGAGGAAGGGAAGTTTTGCAGTTCTTTAGCTGATCCAATTTCATCCTCAAACCAGGTGACAGGGGCGTCCTGTACCCTCCCACAGCATCGGCTGGGGCAAACATAAGCTTTTCCCTTTTTGTTTGTTTTTTTGATTGTAGGATTACTTTAATGCCAGCCCAGCTCCCAGGGATTGCTGAAAGGAGGGGACAGGTCCCTCTCCTTCAGCAGGATCCAGGGTTTTGGCTGCAGAGCTGATCTAAGGGGTGGCTGGACCCTCCCCGAATACTGGGGTGGCTCTGGCTGTGGGGGCTCTGCTGTAGTGCAGCACTGGGGGCAGGTCAGACTGTCAAGAGCCTCGGAGCCATCAATCTCATTCCTCATTAATCCTCCAGCAGGGCCACCTCCCTGGTGGGGTTGACAGGGGTGGCTGCATGTCCCCCCAAGGGCAGGGACGCAGGCTGGACCCCGGGGCTGCAGCAGCAGTGCTCTTGCACCCCAGCCATCCCGGGGCCAGGAGCACTCGGGACTGCCAAGCCCCAGACAGAGGAAAGGGTGACCCATGGGGACAGAGGGCCAGTGTCACCCTGCAGGGTCCGAACACAGGGAAGTGTCATCCCATGGGCAGAGCCGGGGGGACGATCTGGTAGGGCCCATCCTCCCCAAAACCTCCAGGCTCAGTCTGCTGATCTGGGCAGGCACAGCCGCACCATGCCAGGCTCCCCTCTGCCAGGCTGCTTCATGCCAGGCTCCCCTCCCTCTCCCGAGGCCCCTGGACCGGTCCCCAGTCCCATCCCAGCCCCGCGGGGGTCCCCGGGGGAACTCACTCGAAGGCAAAGAAGAGGGCGCAGGTGCCGAGGATGAGGAAGAGCGTCAGGTAAAAGATGCCCTTCTGGCGGGCCATCATGATGCGGCCGTCGCAGCAGAAGGTGTTCCTGCCCGGCAGCTTCTCCCATTTCCGAACCACCTTCTTCCTCGCCACCATCACCGACATGGCGGGGCCGTCACTGGGGCGGCGGCGGCCGCCGCGCGTCCGGGCGCTGCTGCTGCTGCTGCTGCTGTTGCTGCTGCTCCTGCTGCTCCGCCGCCCGCGCCCCCGGCATCATCGGGGCCCCGCGGGGCTGCGCTGGCGGCTGCGGGAGAGGGAACCGGGAGAGCGCTCGGTCAGCACCGGGGAGGCGGCGGCGGCAGCCCCGGGCCGGGGGGCAGCGGCCGTCGCCATGGAAACCCCGCGCCCAGGAGGGGCGTCGCCGCGGGAACCCACCGGGGAGGGGGCGCGGGGCGCGGCCCTACGGGGAGACCATAGGCTGGGCGGGGAGGGGGCGGTGGGGCGGCCCCGCGACGGGAGGAGACGGGGCGCGGCCGGGCAGGGCAAGGCAGGGCAGGGCAGCACCCGCCCCGCAGAGGGTAGAGGGCAGAAGGGGAGGGCTCGGGAGGGCGCGGGGGGTCCCGCGCCGCCGCTCACCCGGTGCCGGTGCCGGTCGGGCCGGGCCGGTCGCTCCCTCCGCGCCGGGAGGGGCCGCCACGCCCCGCAACCCAAAGGGGGCGCGGCCGCCGCCGCCATTGGCCCCGCCGCGCCCCCGCGCCCCGCCCCGCTCACCTATTGGACTCACTTGCTGCCACTCCACGGCGGCTCCTCCCGCCCCGCTCGCCCATTGGCCGTCAGCGCTGTCGTTCCGAGGAGGATCCTCCCTCTTCTGAGCGTCCCGCGTGTCCATTGGCCAGATACGCTGTCACTCAGCGGCCCTGGCCCCGCCCCGGTGCGGACAAGGGGAGGCGGGGCGGGGGCGCGGCCCGGCACGTGTCGGGGGCGGGGCCTGGGCCGGGTGCGGCGAGATTGGGATAGGGATAGGGATGGGGATCGGGACCGGGACGGACACGGGGGGTCACTGGCCTGGCCCGGCTCCCGCCAGACACCCGGCGGGGCCTGACCAGCGCAGCTCCGCCGTTCCTGGTTTTCTTTTCCGTTCTTTCGCACCAGGTGCCCACCAAGGACCGGGTTGCCGAGCCCCACTTCTGCCGCGGGGAGCACACGGGGGAGTTCCCCGCCTGCCCCTCCCACATTTTGGGGCCGCACTCCTGTTTGCTGGCTTTGCACACCGGGACCCTGGGGTTTGGTGCGGGGAACACCCCGGTGTCCCACCCCGGTGTCCCACACACGGTGCTCCCCGTGGGCATGTGGCAGCCGGCGGCGGCAGGGCCCCGGAGCCTCAAATCCGACGGGAAAAATAAGGAACTTTTTTCCCCCCGCGGTTGTTGCTATGGAGACGGGAGCAGATGGGGAGCAGCTCGTTATCCCTCTCTCTTCGCCAGCCCCTGCCCTGAGCCCCCCTGCGCGCCCAGCTCGGGATGAAGAGGAGGAGAAGGAGGAGGAGCAGGGATGCTGCGGGCGCAGGTGACCCCGGCGGTGGCTGAGCACTAACACAGACACCCCTCCGTGCCTGAGAACTCGTCCATTTGCTCCAACGACCCCTCACATCCCATAAATCCCCAAAACGCCCTCGGGAGTCGGGGGCGGGCGGGCGGGAGGACCCGTAGGTGCGGGAGCACCGTCCCCGAGGCCGCGGCCCTGGGGCACCTCCTGAGATGAAAACAGCGAATCCCGGAATCCCTGGGGCTGTGAGGGGGGACCCACGGGGGTCACGGATGGAGCGGAGAGCCCTGGAGCCCGCGGCTGGTACCGGCGATCCGGGGGCGTCCCGGGGACATGTCAGAGCTGGCCCGAAGCCTTCGGAGGGTCCGTCCGAGGCCGGGCTGGGGGGTCTGTGTGCTCGAATCCCCCCCGGGACCCTCCGGTCCCCCCGCCCCGCCCGCCGGGCCCGCTGCCATGGTAACCGTGACGTGCCGCGGGCGCGCTTTGCGGCGGGGCGCGCAGGCCCGGCGCGACGCGCGGCGGCGCTTTGCGGCAGTGCCGGCGTGCGGGAGCCATGGCGGAGCAGCAGGACCAGCAGGACCCGCAGGACCCGGTGGCGGCGGCGGCCGAGAGCGGCAGCGAGAGCGAGGACGGGGTGAGCGGGGTCGGGGCGGCCTCCCGCGGCGGCCCCAGCCGCTGCCTGCGGCTCTCCGGGCGTTCTCCCGGCCGTGGCGGGCGCAGCGGAGGGCAGCGTGGCCTGACCGGGACGCCGGGCCCGGTGCTCGGCCAGGCGGGTCCGGGGGGCACCGAGGGGTAATGGGGGGCAGCGGGGAGCGGGCGCTGGGGCCATCCTCGCGGCCGCGCTCCGCTGGGCTGGGCCTGTGAGCACGTGTGCTGCGTGGCAGGAGGATGGAGAGCGACGGCACCGGCGGCTCCTGGAGGCGATCAGCGCCCTGTCCGGACGGAAACGGTGAGTGGGGGGTCCCGGGGCTCCTGCAGCAGCCGCGCTGCGTTTCCTCCCCGCTGCCCGTGAGGCTGCACAGGAAAAAGGGCAGCTGGGGCGGGTCTCGGCCCCTGCCCGCCGGCACCGGCCGCAGACCCTCTGGAGCACCCGCGGGAACACGAGGAGCCCTTGGGGTTATTTTCTGTCCCTCTCCCTCAGGCGGAAGCTGGCGGAGCGCTCCGAGGCGGGCGGGCAGGTGTCCGAGTTCAATGTCACCTGCAAAGGTGAGGTCCGAGCGCTGGGCAGGGCTCGAGGGGAAGGGACAGCGCTGCCCATCCCGAGCCACCGCGGGGGGTGTGCTGGGGCAGCTGCAGCCCCTCACGTGGCGTCTCTGTGTAGGTGCTGGCGAGAAGCTGGTCCTGTCGGAGCTGCTGAAGCCCATCCGCCCCAAATCTGCCCTGAGCAGCGTGAGGAAGGAGCTGGCCAGGGTGAAGCGGAAGGCGGCGGTGGAGCTGCCGCTGAGCAAGGAGGAGGCTAAGAGGGTGAGTGCAGGGAGCAGAGGGGGGCTCTGAGCTGAGACTCCGCTGCCCCCTGCCCCTCCCTGACGCTGGCATCACCTTTCTCCGCCCCTCCTGTCCCCCTCCAGGTGGTGAGGGAGGCTGCCTACGTCACCACCTCGAAGGATGTAGGGAAGTGGCAGCAGGTGGTCCTTCAGAACCGGCGCTCAGAGCAGCTGGTGTTCCCCCTGCGGCAGGACATCCCCACGGTGACGCCTCTGGAGAGGGTGACGTCGGCCTGGAAGGTGGGGGCTGGGGGTCTCACGGCCCTGGGGGTGCTGGGGGCAGCGTCGGGGGTTTGGCCACAGGGCAACTCTAGGAATTTGGCTGGGGCAGCTCCAAGGGTTTGACTGGGGCGGCTCCAGGCTCGACTGAGGCAGCTCAATGTCTCCTGGCTGTGTTGGGAGTAGTGACAGAAGTGATGGAGGTGAGGAAGGCCCAGCCTGTGGCTGAGGCACTGGGCAGGTGCCTGCTGAGCTTGGGAGGGTTGAAAGGGCAGTCTGTGTTCCTCACACATAGCAGGTGTATAAATTCCATCTGGGAGAAGCCAGGAGAGGGTTTGGAGCTTGCTCTGTCGCCTCTTCTTCTTGTAGTGTCTCAGCCCCTGCAGTGTTTCCATCCCTGAGCTGGGCCAGACACCTGGGGGTGTCCCTCAGCCACAAATGCTGAGGCAGAGGGAATTGGTTTGCCAAATTCTGTGCGCTTGGAAACATTCCTTACAAAAGAAGGATATGTTTGGTTTTGAATATCAGTTCCCACGGGGTTGTAACTGGCAGCTGTTGGATGCCCAGGTGAGGGGCAGCCCCTGCTGATCTTCCAACATTTCTGTGGCTCACCTTGATCTGCCCAAAGGTCCCTTTGCGTTTTGGAGGGATGTGACACTGGGTGGCCTGGAACCCCTGCTCCATGCTCCTTGTCCGTGCCTCTGGTCAGCACTGCTCATCTGACAATTAAGAGAGTCCATTTCTCTTAACATGGGAGGAATTGCACCTGCCCTCACCTGCTGACGTGGCTGGGAGGATGCCCAAGGCCCGTGATCCCCATGAGCAGGGCCACCTGTCCCTTGAGGAGGGGACACACTTCTCTGGGCCTTCCCACAGACTCGCTCAGTGGCAGTGAGAAGGGTTGGGGACATCCAGAGAAGCATTGGCCCTTGCAGTTCTCCTCATTCTCCTGCTGTGTCTTCTGTCCCAACAGGCCCGGACTCCACTGGAGCAGGAGATCTTTGGATTGCTCCACAAGACACAGCAGCCCATCACAGACCCGCTGCTGACACCGGAGGAGACAGCCTCGCTGAAGGCCATGAGCTTGGAGGAGGTGAGGGCTTCCTCTTGCCAGGGCCTGACTCTGAGGGCCCTCATGCTGTGCTCCCCATCCCTCATGCTGTGCTCCCCATCCCTCACCCTGTGTTCCCCATCCCTCACCCCGTGTTCCCCATCCCTCACCCCGTGTTCCCCATCCCTCACCCCGTGT